AAGAATGGGCTTGCTTTGTAACCCTGCCAAAATACTGCCTTTTTCTGTTAAAACAATGGCAAATACCGATTACCTCTGTCTGACTTAGAGCAGCAAGCGCACGGGGGATTTCACCCATGGGCTCCTCGGCATTTCTGCTTGCAGTTGTCCTGGGCTTCAACCTGGTTGCTGTGGTTAAATGCTCCAGAAGCAGAGACTGCTGCTGGCTGCGTCAGCTATGGCCAAGTATGGCCTTCTCATTGCACGTGTCTCTCAAGTGCTGCATCTTAAGGACTCTGTGATGGTCATGGAGAAGCCACCTGTACACAGCAGCACCAGCCAGGCCTGGGGTTACCTTCAGTGGGGAACGTTTTAGGGGGCCTGAGTGGAAATAAGATGAATTCTGTCCTGTGGTGACATACAAAAAAAACCCCTCAAGATGTCATACATTTCCTGGCCTTAAAATATTTGAAATAAATCCATTCCCTCTATTTGAAATGCAAATGTCTTTTGTCTGTCAACTCTGCACACATTTGAATATCTTGTATACGGCTTTTCTTCTTTTCAGATATCCCAAAGTAGCTCCTTCAGAAAGGGGTGATGTGAAATGCATGCTGAAGGGTTTTCTTACATGATAAATTTGGCACATTGGTCCCTTGCGGTGATCAGGAAGATCTTTGTGAAGCTGTCAGGGGCTATTGTGAGCAGCCTTAGGGTCAGCTACCGAACAGGCTTGAGTGGAAGGTCAGTGATCCTCTGTTTATGACAACTCGGAGGAAGTTCTAACACAGAACTTGCATTTAAGAAAGAAAAAACCAAAACCTGCTGAAGAAGGTGACCTACTGGATGGCTACAGTTACGGATACGAACATCTGACAGCTATGTCGTTTTATAGGGGGGTTGAAATTTGGTTTCTCTCACAGGTTGGTCCATTCAAGGAGGAGGTTACCTCCCAGGCCTCTCGTTCAGACGTGGTGTCCGCGCATGGGGCATGCCTGCCTGCTCTGACACACGCGTATGGCCCGGTAGGACAGTAGGGCACGAACTCCATTCCAGTTGCGTAAAGAAACACTTGGAAATGGATGTGATTTGGCAGATATTACCTGGATGACTGACTTGGCTTTTTCTGTCTTGCTTTTCTGTGCACTCTGACTGGAGATCCATCTGAAGCGGGTGTAGACTGTGTCTACTGATGTGGCAGTGTGCGCATTGCCTCTTCAGTTACGGCTCTCTTTCTCAGTGAGCCCGAGGTACCCAGGACGTTTTGCTTCCTTTGGCTAAGGTATGGTGTCTGGCCTGGCTAAGTTCTTGTCAGTGAAAAAACATTTGTGTCAAAGAAGATAAATTCAGGAAAGGGGCTGGCAGCCTTCGGTTGTGAGTAATGCCGCTCTGTGCGGGTGAAATTACGGTTTGAATGGTGATAAACTGAGGAGATAAACAGTGCAAGTTGTTAGCTTTAAATCTTTATATCACAAGTGTTTGTCATGACGATTTGAAGGGAAAACTGTGTGTTCAGTCTTGCATGGGATCTCCGATAAATTAGTCCTGTTATAGAAGAACCTTGTCGTTAAAGGTTTATAACTCTGCTGTAAAATCCTTGCTGGTGTGGGGCTCTGCAGAGAGATTCGGAGCCAGGAGGGCCTGTCCATCTTCAGAAAAGCTGAGTTGTGCTTTACTTGAAAGTGTAACTGCTCCGCTCAATTTGTGTCCGAAGCTTTGCTCTTGTAAAAGGGAGTGAGTGGGCTGTTGGACCTGCGTCCTGTGGTGTGCCTGTGCCACCTCCTTGCCTGCCTTGGGCTTCTCTTTCCTTTCCCACCCTCTGTTTGACTTGACCCTTTAGCCTTTAAGCTGTCCGGGGCAGGGACCCTGTTTGAACAATACCTACTGCAATGGGAGGCTGATCCCAGGTGGGGTTTCAAGGCTTTCCTGCAGGGAAAAAATGCTTGCAGTTATATCCCCTGCAAAAATAAATGTGCCCAAGGAAAAAAAAAAAATCTCAGGCTCCAGCTGCAGTTTCTGCAACTGAACGGCCCTGCATTTATTACAGGATTATCTGCAAATTCAAATAGGTTGTCTCTTTCACTTCACTGAATGCTCTGATCCTAAATAAGCAAATTACATCACCTATTCTGATGTCCTGTTTAACTTATGACCTCAGCCTGAGCGCTGCAGGATGTGAGAGATAGCTGCTTTATTTCATTGTCTGGAGATCTGATATCTTCCCCCCACCCCCCCACCCCCCTTCCCTGCTCTTTCAGTTTCAGAGCTGCTCACCCCAGCCTTTTAGAAAGGTGTTAGCATGGGATTACGAGTAGGTGGGGGGTGGGGAGAGAGGAAACCACCATATTTTTTTTTTTAAATTAGGTGCAAAAGTGTTCTAACAGTTGAAGCAAATGTTTCTGGTTTTTTGTGGTTAAGGT